GCAATGCTCACTCTGCGGTCGTTATTCACAGCCCCCTGCCCTCCCCTCCTGGCCCCTGCTGACCCTCTGCCAGCGGGGCACGCTGCTGGATTAAGGGCACTTGACTCTGAGGGGTGCAGAGGAGGAACTGGGAGCTTGCACTGCTGGACCCCCTGCCCTGGGGATGGACAAGCCAGAGGGGCTGCCCCTCTGGTGTGGTACTAGGACTGTGAGCTGGTCTTGCCCCAGCCTGTGGGCAGGGGATGTATGCGTTGCCCTCACCCAACACCAGCTGCCACCACAGGGCACATGGGGGGAATATTTCCAGCAGAGAGATGCTCGCACCTGGTCCATGGTTCAGCATGGTCCTAGCACTCTGTATACTATTGCTCTCCTGCTAGGGCTGTGTTTTGGGGGCAGCTCCTGAGAGCCTGAGGCTGTGCCTGTTCCTTACTCCCAACACATCGTGTTCCTTCTGCCAGAAAATGCTAATCAGCTGCATTTAAAGCAGAGATAATTCCAGGTCTGATTAGCAGTGGCTGCTGCTGTGTATCACAGCATGAATGCCAATGAAGGCAACAGCCTGGCACCCAGCAGGCTTGGGCACTCTGCCTGCCCCATGCTACCCTGCTTCTCATTGGCCCTCTCCACTGGTCCTAGGGACTGGGATCTGACAACGCACCCAGGACCAATGTCACAGCCTGGTCATCTGCCTCAGCAGCTATGTGCTCTGACCTAGGGATCTCCATGGTCTTTGCTGTGATCCAGGGCACGTGCCTCTCCAGTGCAGGATAGCAGTGGGGCCAGCCAAGGACCAGGGTCAGGGATCAGGCTGGAAATGACAGCTGCTGTGGCTGTAGCCCTGGTGATGCTGACAGAGACAGTCTCCAGACATACGCAGTCCCAGCACGATGCTTGGAGATCCTGAGGTCTCCCGGCTGCTGGGGGGACATTGTGGTCCCTGGAGTGCTGCTGCTTTTGAAAGCTGAACCTGTGCTGCTCTCCCTCCAGGGTACAAGACTCTCCTCAAATGCCTGTCAGGGAAGTTCTGCCAGCGGGAGCTCATTGGGATCATGGGGCCCTCAGGTGCTGGGAAGTCCACACTCATGAACATCCTGGCTGGCTACAGGTGAGGCTGGGGGAAAGCCAGCGGGTCTGGGGGTTCAGGGCTGGGGGTCTGTTGCTACATCCCCCCACGCCTCTTTCCTGCAGGGAGACTGGCATGAAGGGCCAGATCCTGGTGAATGGCCGGCCGCGGGACCTGCGTACCTTCCGCAAGATGTCTTGCTACATCATGCAGGATGACATGCTCCTGCCACACCTCACCGTGCTGGAGGCTATGATGGTGAGCGATGCGGGAGCACCATGGCACATCCTGTGGACTGTGTCCTCGGGCACTGAGCCCACACTGACATCAGGCATTTCCAAGGGCTCTGGGAACAAAATCCTGCTGCTCTTGCTCCCTTCATCCTGAGCCACCATTCCCAGCCCTCGGCCGGGCAGGGATGGGGCCACGGTGCAGCTGATTCTCCTCCCTACATCTGACAGTCGTGTCTCCCTGCCTGTCCTCTTCCTGCAGGTCTCTGCTAACCTGAAGCTGAGTGAGAAGCAGGAGGTGAAGAAGGAGCTGGTAAGTGCAGAGGAAGGTGGGTCCAGGCCCCTTCATCTCTCCCCAAGACAAGGACAGTAAGGAAAGGAGGGCCCTGAGGGGGCCAGGGGATGCCGAGGGGCTCCCAGCCATGGAGGTCTGAAGGGAGGTGGCAGGATGGGGTGAGGGTCCATGGGAGCCCCTGATGAATGAGACTGTCTTACAGGTGAACGAGATCCTGACAGCCCTGGGGCTGCTGGAGTGCTCCTACACCCGCACCATCTCGCTGTCGGGGGGCCAGCGCAAGCGCCTGGCCATCGCCCTGGAGCTGGTGAACAACCCTCCGGTCATGTTCTTCGATGAGCCCACAAGGTGAGGCTGCAGGGGTCGGGGCTCCTCGGCATTGCCTGCCCAGCTGGGCTTCCCCTGCCAGGGGACACCAGGGTGGCCAGCACCCTCTGGAGCATAGCAAGGCTGCGAGACCTGAGGCTGGGATGTGACTGTGCTCACTGGGGCTCCAAGTGGGCTGGGGGACGGCAGGGCTGGGGATCCAAATGGCAAGTGGGGGCATCTTTATGGTGTACTTTTCCCTCTCTCAACTCTCCTCTTCTCTCTCTGCTGTCTTTTTCTCCTCCACCCCATCCTGCTTGGCCACAGCGGTCTGGACAGTGCCTCCTGCTTCCAGGTGGTTTCTCTGATGCGGTCCCTGGCTCAGGGTGGGCGCACCATCATCTGCACCATCCACCAGCCCAGCGCCAAGCTCTTTGAGATGTTTGACAAGGTTCGGGCTGGGCTAGGACGCAGGACTCTTCAGGGGTGCAGGGTCCCTCTGGCCCCAAGACCCAGGCGAGGGGCCATGGGAGGGGTGGGCTGCAGGCATTTGACCTGGGGCTTGTGTGGCACACAGCCCTGATGGTCGGGTTCTGGCAAGGGTGCCCTGTGTCACCCTAGGACAGGGAGGTGGGTAGGAGCAGGCAACAGTGCCCTTGGCTGCTCTGCACCTGCCATATCCTGGCTTTTTCTTCCAGCTGTACATCCTGAGCCAAGGACAGTGCATCTTCAAAGGTGTCGTGACCAACCTCATCCCCTACCTGAAGGGTCTTGGCCTCCACTGTCCCACGTACCACAACCCTGCTGACTTCAGTGAGTACCCCTGCCCCACCCAGCTGGGGCCGTGGTGAGGAGCAGAGGGTGGCAAGGTCCAAACCCAGTGCCCAAGCCCTAGTGGCTGCCCAGCGTTCCCTTGAGTTGCCCAGGCAGCAGGGCTGCCCGTGCCCTTCCCGGTAGGTGCTGGCTGGGCAGTGCTGCCGTGTGGTGCAGCATCGTGGGATGGAGGGTGTTCTGGCCTCACACCCCCCTGCCCCATGGGGTCGTGGTCTGGGAGGGCCAAGCAAAGTGATGGCAAGGGCTGTATCAGCACCTCTCAGGGGTCCTGTCCTCTTCCACAGTTATTGAGGTGGCCTCAGGAGAGTACGGGGACCTCAACCCCGTCCTGTTCCGCGCTGTCCAGAATGGCATGTGCACCATGGCCGAGAAGAAGAGCAGCCCTGACAAGGCAGATCCATCGTGCCCGGCACACTGTGTGACGGTGAGTGGGGATGAGAGGAGCCTCCCGTGGTGATGGGGAGTGGCAGGTACTGGGGTGCCCACCCAGGGACACTTCAGTCCCCGCTGCTCCACAGTGCACGGATATTCTGTGATGCTTAGAGCCCCTTGGACGTGGTGGGGAGCATGGAGGTGTTCAGCCAGCCTCTGCTTGTCTTTAGCAACAGCTCTGTGCTTGCAGCTGGCAGTGCCTGTTCTCACCAGGGGTGCTCAGAGGGGGCACCCTGGGAGTGTTTGGGTGCTGTCCTGGTTGGGAGCCAGTGTTGTGAACTTGACCCATATGCTCGACTTGTCTGTGGTCTTGCAGGATGTGGACCACATCGAGAGCCACACATTTGCCACCAGCACTTCAACCCAGTTCTGCATCCTCTTCAAGAGAACCTTCATCTGCATCCTCAGGGACACGGTGAGGGCAGGGGAGGCTGGCCAGGGCTGAGGGGATGGGGCGTTGGTCACTGCGGGCAGGCAGAGACAGGAGTTCAGGGGAAGCTGGAGTGGGGCTCACTCTTGAGGAGCAGGCAGGCTGTCCTCTGCTCCCCTGGGATGCTCATGGGATGTGGCCCTGCCTTGCTGAGCCCCTGTACCCTCTCTGCCTGCAGGTGCTGACCCACCTGCGGTTCATGTCCCACATCTGCATCGGGGTGCTGATCGGGCTGCTCTACCTGCACATTGGCAACGATGCGGGCAAAGTCTTCAACAACACCGGCTTTCTCTTCTTCTCCATGCTCTTCCTCATGTTTGCCGCACTGATGCCCACCATCCTCACCTGTAAGGAGCTCCTTCCCCCCAGCACCCGTTTGCTGCTCCCAAGCCTTGGGGCAGAAGGGGGTGCTCCAGCTCTGTGGGAGTGTGTCTGCTGGGTGGTGTATGGCAGAGCCTGATGAATTGGACAAGAGGGGAAATAAGAGAGGAGAGGGAAAAAATTCAAACAAAGAAGAAGGGGAAAACTTCTGTTTGGGTATATTGCAGTTTTGCCTTTTATTTAATATTTGGCTAGAAGGTACTTGCTGGCTCAAAGCACAATGTTGGAATTTTTTTCCTGAGAAAATTTCTGTAAGGCTGCATTTTCAGCTGATTCGCCTCTCTTTCACTTCCTTAAAAACTTTGCCTAAAAACCCCCAGCCAAGCTGACTTTTCCATGCAGAAAGCTCCCACATCGGTCACTGACATTTTTCCCCGGTGAAGATTTGAGCACCCGCTAGTGGCACAGGCAGGATGCTCCCTGGTGCTGTGCTGGGGCAGCATCACATCTGCCTGCACCGGGACAGGTGGGAGTGGGGGCTGGAGCAGGGCACTGCTGTCTGCTACCTCCTTGTTTCTGTGCAGTCCCCCAGGAGATGTCTGTATTTCTGCGAGAGCACTTGAACTACTGGTACAGCCTGAAAGCCTATTACCTGGCAAAGACCATGGCAGATGTACCCTTCCAGGTGAGCTTTCCGCTGGACTGAAGTGTGTCCCTGATGCTGATGTGCCTTTCTTGGCACAGCCAATTGCCCCAATACCCCGTGCTGGCCTTTGAGGGGGTCCCTGTGGTCCTCCATTCCCCGGGGTGGGTTGTGGGGTGAGGATGACCAAGAGGTCTCTTTACTCGCCCCTCTCCAGGTGATCTGTCCCATCGCCTACTGCAGCATCGTGTACTGGATGACGGGCCAGCCACCTGAAGCCACGCGCTTCCTCCTCTTCTCTGCACTGGCCAACGCCGCAGCCCGGGTTGCTGCCCCCCGCCACAGCCCTGGTGGCCCAGTCCCTCGGGCTTCTCATCGGAGCTGCTTCCACTTCCCCGCAGGTCAGATGGGGCCCCGGCTTTGCCTGTTACGTGCAGATGGGAGGATTGCAGGGGGTCCCACGACAAGGAGGGGTGGAGGGAAGTGTTGCCCATAAGCAGGCATGAGAGTGCCCCAGGAACAGAGACGTGACACCCAGTGGCCTCTGCTCCCCAGGTGGCCACCTTTGTGGGACCCGTCACTGCCATCCCCGTCCTGCTCTTCTCGGGCTTCTTCGTCAGCTTCAAGACCATCCCCACCTACCTGCAGTGGAGCTCCTATGTCTCCTATGTCAGGTGGGACCCCGTGCTCTGGCCAGAAGCTCCCTGCCCTGGGCTCCTATGGGCTGGGGAGAGAACGGGGCTGCCTGGGGCACGCGGTGACTCCTGTGGTGTGCTCTGCCCTAGGTATGGCTTCGAGGGTGTCATTCTCACCATCTACGCCATGGAGCGTGAGGACCTGGAGTGCCTCGAGGACTTCTGCCCTTTCCAAAAACCCATCAAGATCCTGCAGGAGCTGGACGTGGAGGAGGCCAAGCTTTACCTGGACTTCCTCATCCTGGGCATCTTCTTCATCATCCTGCGGCTCCTGGCTTACCTGGTCCTCAGGTACAAAGTCAAGTCAGAGAGATAAAGGGGCAGTGGGGCCCCGGTGCCATTCCCAGGCCTGGCCTGCTGTGAGAGACAGATCTGCCGGTGGACACAGTGCTCCCAGCAGGTCACGGACCGCGGCGGAGGCATGGGGAGGTGCCAGCCAGGCCTGGCTCAGTCGAGAAGGGTTTTGAGACATCTCGGAACTGTTTTAACCTTTCCACACACTCTTCATTGCAAAAGTTTTGTACAGCCCTGGCATGTGCCACCCTCTCGCCCAGGACTGCCGAACCCCCCAGAGCTTGGATCCCCTCTTGTCACCCCTGCCTGGCACTGCCCTTCTCCGCCAAACACATCGGGACACTGGGGACCGTCCTGTGGAGGTGGCTGTCTGCCGAGCAAGGCTGAGAGGAGCTGGCTGCTCTGCACAGAAGGGAGCCGTGCCCTGGGGCTGCCTGATCCTGGGGCTGGAGCTGGGAAGAGACACCTGCAGAGCATGGATCAGTAGTGCTGCACATAGCCCGGTTGCTTGCCCTGGCCAGCAGCATGTGTGTCAGTGCTAAGAAGAGCCCAAAGATGCAATAGGTCAAGTTGCACAAGGCTTTAGTGTTTCCTGTTGCTGTAGCCACAGAAATTGCTACATCCCCTTTTTCTTTCTGTATAAACCCCCCCCCCCTTTTTTTTTTTTTCTTTTTTTTTTTTTTCTAAATCCCACTGCTTCCCAGTCTACATGGAGGGGAAAGGAGCCAGCAGGCAAAGAAGGACTTGGGGAGTCTGTCTCAGACTTCTGCTCAGATGCTATCCTGAGACGAGATCTTCAAACCTGGGGATGTAGTAGGGTCTGTGGGAATGGGACAGTACTCTCAGACCTTGGGGAGTCTCACGTTCAGTCCCTTTGGGGTCTGGGCCAAGAGGATAAAATCAGCCAACGTGGAGAGAAGTGACTGGCCCCCTCAAGTGCTGCATGGAGTGGGGAGGATTGAGGTTCCCACACCCTGCGAGTGCCAGGTGGCTGAAAAACTGGACTGAGCTCAGCCATGCCATTACTGGAGCCTCTGTTGCAGAAGAAGAGCTGGCGCTGACCCCTTCCCTTGCACAGCCTTGCTCCTCACTCCTCTTCCCCCCGCACAACTGTGGCTGTCTCAGCAGAACAGGGAGGACAAGCCTCACTCAGCACTGGCTGTGCAAGAAGGGGGTGTCAGCCCTAGGGACACCCAGCCTCATCACAGTGCAAGCCTCCCAGGGTAACACTGTGCAGAAGGGGGTCCCAGCAGTGCCAGAACTGGAAAGCAGGTGAGATCTTGGAGTGGTTTATTTGCATTGGGTGACCATTATGCTGGGAAGGGCTTTGCACTTTGTGACTGGTATCGGGAAAAGGTCCCTTTTGGCAAGTGTCTCTGGTGTGTCCTCCAAAGTCACCTGCCTCTCCACACCTGGGAACCCACTGCTTTTTAGTGAGCACAGACACGGGGAGGGCAGCTCTGCCCCATCCTGGCATGCTGGGCCCTGGTTCAAGTTCAGTCTGTGAGACGCTGCTGCCGGCACTCTGAGCAGCAGAGGATTGCAGGGCAAATGCCAGATTTCAGCAAAAATCCTTGAGACTCTCCTTTGCTCGTACTGGCTCTGGTCAGGACTGCTCTGCACAGCAGGGTCTGGCTGGCCCACAGGTGGATGGCAGACGTGGCAGCACTGGTGCTGGGCACTCAGCAAGGTTGGGTTTCCCCGGCCTGGACAGCATCACTGTGAGGAGGTTGTTGCCATGGGGCTCCCCTGCACAGAGGATCTGGAAGCAGGATGTTCACTGATGCCCTTTCCGTGCTGAGCATCAGGGATTTCCCCAGGGGCTCTTGTCTGACTTACTGCTGTCCATCACAAAATTCCCCTCTGCTGCTGGATTTTCCTTCACCGCCAGCCCTGTGCTGTGCTCTGCAATGGACCTATGTCAGCCTGGGAGGCTGCAGTCTCTGGGGCATGATGCTGCCAACCCCAGCCGCAGGGGCACAGTCGAGTGGGGAGTGGTCCCCATGTCTGCTCTGTCCCCAGGCGGATGGATGCGCAGAGAGCCACGGGCTGTCACTCTTCTCCATCTCACTGTGACACTGATGGGTCTCCTGCCCCTCTTCTGTCCTGCTCTTGGGCTGGGGCTAGTAAAGCCTTGCCCGGTGCAGGGTGTGCACTGCTGGGCTGAGGGTTTTCCCCTGGATGGATATCAAGTGGGCAGGAGGTGCCAGTGGTGCAGCTTCACACAGCTCCTGCCTCCTGCTTGCTCCCTGGCTGTGGGAGCTCTCATGATGGGTCCTGCTCCCTGCACACCGGAGGCACTGCTGTCCCCAGCACTGTGTCCCCAGCAGCTTCTGTCTGCACACAGTGCTTTCCAGGACACCCCTGTGCCATTGCAGCCAGCGCCACTCCCAGAAGGACCAGGAGGAGACGGACCAGCGGTGACCCACGTGTGGAGCAAAGGGAGCTATCAGCAGGCACCCCTGACTGCCACTACCCACGTGCCCCACGCAGAGGGATGCTGCAACAGAATTCTTTACTGGCCAGCCTCTGCTGCTTGCAGAGAAACCCCATAGGACAGGCTGCCAGAGCTTGGCACAGCTGGAAGGACACTGCTGGAGCAGGCAGCTCCACAGGTGGCTGCTCCGACCCGCCTGTCCAGGACGGGGCAGTTGAAAAGCACCCCCAGGATCTCCGGGATAGTTCAGGACAGCCTGGGCCTCCTGCACTAGTGAGTGTGTGGGTTGCAGAGTCCTGACTGATGAGGTGCCAGAACAGGGCCATCCATTGCCCCTTCCCTCCCAGCGAGGACAATCCCAGAGATGGTGGAAGGCACAGAGAAATGCAAAGGGACCATGTTTGCACTGAGCCCCCAGGCTGGCATGGCTGGGCTGAGCACTTGGTATTTATTGCCCCTCCACCCCACAGGAGCAGGGCGAGAGGTGTTGTCTCTGCCCTGGCACAGCCAAGGGATAGGCTGCAGCTACCCTGCTCCGGGGGGCCCTTAGTGAAGCAAGGCTGGGCTGCTCCAGCCCACTGCCTAAGGGACATCTCTCCAGGATGGTCCCCTCAGGGCAAGATAGGCACCGAGCTGGGCTGTGGTGGGACCCCCTGGCAATAGCACTGGTTGTTTTTTGGTGTGGGACCAGGGGCTCCCAGGCTGGGTCTTGCCTTGTCCTGAGCGGGTGGGGAGCACCCACATGCTTGGCTGGCATGCAGCTGCGAGGATGCACTTTATCAGAGCAGGGGAGCAGGGCTGTGGATGCTTCTGGCTGCAGGAGTCCCACCAGGGAACGTGTCTGGATAATCATGAGGAGAGTGATGGAGGAGAGCAGGCTTCTTCCCCCATACTTCCTCTCCCCTCCTGCTCCCTGCCTTCCCTTGCAATGCACTTTGAACGGATGAGAATGTGGTTCAGACCATGGCTCCAGCTCCCTGGGAGTACCAGTTGAACCTCACCCCATCTAAAACTGCTTCAGCCCCTTAGCCTGGTTCCTTCAGCCCACAGGCACAGTTGCATCAGGTACTGCCTCTCCCTCATGCGTGCTGTGAATGCAGACAGGCAAGCAGGGGTATGGCCTCTCACCTCCACGCATGTCCAGGCCACCTTTGTCACCCGCACAAGAAGAACAAATGCATCATCACCTGGCTGGTGCTAGGTTTTGCTGGAGGGGAGACTGGGCTAGCGCAGGGAGGGGATGGGGCTTCTCCCAGGGTTTCACCCCTCTCTCAAATCAGGCAATAAAACAGTGTTTCGTTCTCACTGTGTGTGGACACCATTTGTCCTGTCCCTCTGCCATGGGAGCTCCTGGTGCCACGGACAGCCTGGGGCTGCCTGGGATCTCTGCGTGTGTCCCTGCCACGCTGGACCCTGTGGTTTTCCAGCCTTTGCCTTGCCCACATGTGCAGAGGAGATTGTACAGTGGGGTGCACGTATGATCCAGGACGGAGGTGGACCATGCAGAGGGGTGCAGGTGATGAAACCCATGCTCCCACGTGACCAGAGGTGAGCTGCTTCTTTCCTGGGACAGTTTGCCAAAATAAGATGCAGATAACAACAGCTCAAAGGCCAAAGGAGTCTGCTCGCACAGCCATAGCTCTGCTGTGGTAGCCGCATCTGGGTGGCATTGTCCCGGGTCCTTCAACCTTGCTGGGGGGAGGCTGCAAAGCGGGGCCAGGGCACCTCTGCCCACAGCTGCAGCCTGGCAGGAACCAGGCGGGGTGGAGGGGAGCCCCTGGGCTCTGGGGGAACACGGGGCTGCTGGCAGGGCCCTACTGGCTCTCCAGACTGTGCCGCACATGCAGGTAAGTGCCCCGCAAGGACAGAGTGTCCGGGTCCCTGCTTGCTGCTGGTGCTCTCCAGCGTCTGGAGGGCCCCAGGAGCTGTTGAGCAGGTGGAGATGTTGCGGCTTATTTCAGTCTTTCTGAGATGCCAGCTGTACTTGTTGGAGTCCACACATCAATAAAACTTATATTTATAGTGTACTGCCTGGGTGCCTCCCTTCCCTGAGTGGCCAGAGGGCATGCATGCGAGGGGGGGTGTGCGTGCCCGGGTCCACTGATGGGCGTCCCTGCATCAGGGTGCGGAGGCGGGTGCTGGAGGGACAAGTGGCTGTGCACATTGCTGGGGACAGGCACTGAGTGTGTGCAAAGGCATGCAGGGACGTGCATGTCCATGTGGGCTATGTGCAGGCCTTTGGGGTGCGAGCGTGGCCTCTGGGGGTTACCTGGGTGTGAACCCTGGGCCCCAGCACCCCTGGGATGGGCTGGCCTTTCCTAGGATGGCACCCAGGGACCGAGCAGGGTGCATGCATCCACGCAGACACTGCTGGCTCTGGTCTCAGCATCACCTTACTGGGTTGGCAGAGCAGATCTGCAAGTGGCGAGGAGGACTGGGTTGGCAGAGCAGATCTGCAAGTGGCGAGAAGGTAGGTATGTACGTGCGTGTCCGTGCACATGCGTTACGCAGCCAGGTGCTGCCGGGCTGCCATACCAGCACAGTTTCCTCCGTGCTCTTTTCCCTGTGGGGCTGCTGTTGTCCTG